GATCACTTTCCTTTTTGTCATGTCTAAAGTGTACGAGCGGTAACGTCGAACACAATAGATGAGAAAAGCGCGCATAAGGTGCGAATAAGTGCAGACGTCAACAACTTCACTTTTAGCAACATCAGCTACCGCAACAAACACCTCGCTCTACCTGTGGATATTGCAGCTCAGCAGTCAAATAGTGTTGGGTAGGGTGAAATATGCTCTAGTTAAACATATCCGAATTTTGCGCGATTTGGTCTATTAACAAAAAATTTATGAACGAAAAAGCGTCATAGCATTTCACCGAAGACTTTTGAGCGCTACAGTATATGATTGTGTAATCTAACCAGTAAAGTTTTCATGATAACGCACTAAAGAATGCATTTGATTGATAAGCAAATAAATAAATAAATGGAATCATTCCTTGGTTGGCCTCTCTAAGTTCCCTGAGCTACACAAGTTTGAACTTCTCCCTAAATTCGAGAACATTAGTCCGGCCGATATTCTTCGACATCAGGAATTCGACTTCAAAGAGAAGAGGGAAATTGATCAACTTGCTAATCAAGTGGAGTATTACAAGGAGGTAGAGTATAGGGAAGGTACTGTTGTGCAATTTCGTTCAAGGGGTTTGAGAAAAAAAGAAAAAAAGAAAAAAATACAAAACTGCCAAGACTACTTCAACAACCTCATTATACCGTCTGATCGAACAGCATTGATAGGAAAAAATCCTGCTGCTCACGAAAACATTACTGTTTCATAGGCAGTTTTTATGGTGACTGCGAATGATTTGTTGGTGCGATACGACAAGGTTGGGTAGTTCGCTCAATAAGCACGATGTAGTTGGTCCTATTGCAAGGTTCCGATTGTAGGAATGTGCAGGGGTATAAGGCGTCGTGAACAGAATCTAGCATATCTTCAGGACCCCGGGATGGAGTATCGCATTTGTTTCGCTGAAAGAAGACAGCCTTGGCAACTCAGTCTGGTAAGAAGGGATGAGCTCAGGTGGAGGATGGACAGGAATAGTATCCGATTATGTGGATGACATGTTTGACGATGATCTTGGGAGGATAGCCATAAGTGCAGAAGGGTTTTTGGTAGTGGGTTCATTTGCTATCCAGAAGTGGCAATGAAAATGCGGATATCGGCAAATTTAGAGAAATACAAAGCTTCAAAAAATGTGGTGAAATTAGAGGTCGGAAGAGAATAATAACAAAAATTTCATGTGAGCGGTATCTGGACGAGCTGTCCGAAACTGTGATGGCTGGCCACAGTAAGCTGCCTGCGCGCAACGCGGCTTCCCGGTGCGAATGGTGCAGCTACAGCTTCTGAAACGCCTAACAACTGTCCGCATTGATGTGTATATCGGATAGGCCAGTTTTGGGGCCCCTACTACATCCTATCTAAACCATTTTCCAGCCCGACAGTGTCCATGTGCTATCCTTGGCAGTTTCAGATTTATACCAGGGAGAAATCGTAGACATCTCTCTAATCGTGTATGTCAGTAAGACGAGAAAAATAAGGAAGATAAATAAAAATAAAGTAGAAGGGAAGCAACAAAATAAGCAGCTAAACTTTCTAGTTCCCAGCAGCACTGGCTGTAGGTAGGTTTGAATATTGAATAAACAAGCTTCTAACAAACTCACTCTCCATCCTCGTTCCCAATCCAAACGGTAGTTTGACCTGGTGAAGAGTCGTCATCAGATTCTGACGATTCGCCACTGCTGAAATAAATCCTTTTACTCACGAAAACTACATGAAAGGCTCCGGAACTTCTTTGAGATTCGAGAAAACAGTACTGAAACTCTAAGTACGTAAAAATTTACGAAACGTATGGTTACTGCGGATAGCCCATGACACTCAGCCCCGTTGATTTTTACCACCAGAACTACGCCAATTAAACAACATTTAATGACTTTTAAAAAGTTACTTCTTAATCAACGCCCTTTTTCATATATTCTCTCTTTTTCTTTGGAAATGTTCCAAAATTGAAGTTGAGTTGTACCCTCGCTACTATCTACTTGGCTAATGTCATGATATCGTCAATTTATTTATTAGTATAATTCAAAAAAATTCCGAATTTTTCACTTTCGAATCAAGACAACAATAAAGAGGCTGATAAGCTGGAAAAGTCTGAAAGCTCCACACCTGTTCCTGTCAAAAAACGTCTCCGTCCTTGCCAAACGATCGAGTGACTTCTGAGACTGAGATCTTGATTTACGAGGTTTTCGTTTCCTGGAAAATAACATATACAAGTATCCTCCGAACCAGTCGCAACTTTGTGAAGCGGCTCCATGTCAGGTCAACTACTTCACCTTCGAGGATTGTAGAAGGAACAATTTTTTCAGTGGCATTATTGATTTTCTACTATTTGCTTTTTTTGAACAAGGCTGGTGTAGTGGCAGGTTTATCTATGACACATATGGTCAATCGAGGGATCGAATTCTGGCTCGATACCCGCTTATGCCAGCCAGGCCTTTCGCCTAATTACCCGTCCCCGGAGAGATGACAGGTTCTTTGGTCTAGACCAATATCGGGCCAGAATTCGATCTCTGGGTAGACCATGGATGTCATAGTGGTACCTGATAGTGTTTGGGAGGTTAAATGCACTGGTTTATATATTGGTTGGCCATCACAAATCATCGTAAAGACTCCCTACTCATCAAAACCATCATTACGATTCAGAATAGAAGTCAAGAACGAATTAGTTCCACCCTAGGATGGTGGTGCATCTTAAGATGGGAAAAAATCAAATTCAAAAGACCTTTATCCTAGATTACGCGATTTTTCGAAGGAAAGTAAGCAAGATCACTCCCAAAGGAGTCAAACTTAAACATCCAACACGACCCGTAATGAACTGAACTATTCGTACCGTGGCGACGGAGGTACTGTGCAAGCAGCAGTTACGGTAGCGTTTCCAATTCCGGAACAGCTCTCAATACACGGATCACCACTTTCCAGAGACACAACAGCCACCTGGAATTTGAACTTCCTCGTTTCTAATAGTTCTCCTTCTCATTCCCCTTTTCTATAAAAATCTGGGAGAAACTAACCTGTCCACTGAAACCGTCACTGGAGAAGAGCCAAATGTACGGTGTCGAATCAGGCCGTTTGCCGGGTACCACCGTAGCAGCGCTCAGCTGAAGACAGAAACGGCATGAATAACTGGTTTGGTACTGGTTTAATTTTTGGAAGCTTCAAAAAAGCAATTCGTATGTACAAGGAGCAGTCGATTACCTGCAATCCAGCTCTTGTCTGATGAGCAATCACGGCTTTTATTTTAGCTGGAGGTGCTGATATCTGTTGATTAACTGTAATATACAAATAAAATGGAACAATAAAACCAAATCTTTAGAGGTACATTTAAATAGCCTTATTTAGACTATAAAAAATAAAAGATTAAATAAAACCAGAATGATATAGGCCAGAGCGGAGCTGAAGGCAAAAATCTTACATGATTTTTCAGCCCAACCATTTGCTTAATTATTCCAATTCAACGGTTTCTACTTAACCTTCTTCCTAGGTTATTCGAAGCTTACGAAAAGGGACTCTCAAGCGAAATGAAAAACTTCGGAGTCAGGATCCCGTTCTGGAAGACTGCGCCCCACATCGGACTTCCATTCAGAATGGTAGCAGCATAATGAATGCGTACCCGACCTATACAGTAGCGCTCAAAGGTATTCGGCCAAATGCTTCTTCGGTCGTACTTTTCAGTCGTAGATCCGTAACTCCTTTCCTACCGAATCTAATCTTGCGAAATCTCAATATGTGTAGCATGGGTGCAGTGTGAATATTTACCACTGTTAACCTGCAATCTGATCATGTTCCAGATATCCCAAAGGGCTTAAACAAAAAATCAACTGGAAATACGAATGATAACCCTGCTGGAATTTACTTCCTTATTGCCGTGTCCAAAGCACCAATGTACTAGCACCAATGCCGAATACAGAAGAGAGGAAAAACGTACATAAGGTCCGAATAACTGCAGACGTCACAAACTTGCTTTCAGCACAGTCTACAAACGCCTTTCCCGTAGTTACATATGTGGATATGGCTGTTTTACAGTCAAGTAGTGTTGGACAGTGTAAAATATGCTCCAGCTGAACATATCAAAATTTCATGTGATTTGCTCCACTGGGAAAAGATTTACGGCAAGTTAAAGTTGGCCGAATACTTTTGAGCGCTACTGTATATTTAATGACTTGCGGGCCTTCTTTGTTCATGGCTCTCGTATCAACACCACGGAACAACATTAAATGGGAAAAATCCGAAACCCACCAAAAAACAAAGAAAAATTTTCAAAATACGTTAAAGTCGTTCACAAACTATTTAAACGCTTTTGATGTATTAATGTTGAACAATGGCATATATAAAAAGCAAGATTTAGATTTTTTTTCAAGATAGTAGATGGAATCCGAGGAAATCCATCTCGTTCTTGCGAAAATGTTGTTTCCAAAATGTGATGAGTTAACAGAGAGAAATGCTTGATGAAGAACAGCTTACTGAGTGCGGTCTTGGCTTCACGGAACGCTGTTTCCCAGACGGCTCTCTTCTCAGCGCTGCCAAACTCCAACGGTACAGTTTCGACGCCGTTACTGAAAATTGGGGCCAGTAGTGCGATTGAGAAAGATGTCTAATTACATATCATAAAGAAATGTTAATTATAGAGAATATTAACTGATCGGTGCTGCTGTCTACGTCGGAAAAGAGTACATGAAGGCCAAAAGCTGAGTAGATGAAGTCTAAATTCAAAGCAAACGGGCAAAAGGCAAAGTCACTGACGAAGTGGCAACAGCCAAATGTACGGTAGTGAGATCTGGATTTGAAACCATCTGATCATTCAACGTTCGCAGCCGAACGTTATTCTCGCAAGCCATTTCGTCCAGAACTGCCATGAGCTTCTGAAATCAATAAATATTTCCGCATCGAAAGATAATTAACCTCTTCAAAAGTTCCACCCTTAGGCGGGAATCAGTTTACACACTGTCTACTGTAACCTCCTCATAAAGACGTCTCATCCACAACTGGCCAACACACCACAAAATGCACCACCGAAGTTTTAGTAAGGGATCTCACGGAGACTTATTTAGAAACGCTCTTTCTTGCGACACGTGATCGTACCTCCTTGTTGCCCTTGATTAGGTTGGCCAGCTCCATCACCTTCCTGATGACCTTTTCATCCTCTCGTACGACGTCTATCGTTTGTTCCGTTTCTTGCAATATCGATAATGTGTCTGAAAAACTCAATTCTCATTTAGAAATAGATTTTTCTAAGGAGAATTTTTGAGAGCAGCCTTAAGACCCATTAACTATCAAATCTGAATTTCGCAGAAAGCGTAACTCCGTTGAATCATTGTTAAGAAACGCCGGCACTATTTACCCTTTACTGCCCCAACTTGTCGGGAATGGGCTGGATTTCTACCGAATTTTTTCAAAGAAGATGAAACCGGCTA